TTATATTCAAAAAAGGAGACATTCCCGACTCGTTTTACAACTGTAAAAGGCGAAAAGCCAAATTACATGAAGTGGAATAGTCGCTTTTAAGATCAAATTGCATATTTTTTTTCGATTACAGTGATCCCTTACGAGTTAATAACACTCTCAAAAGACTTGAACACTACTTCCTGATTTGAAACATGTGTCAAGCGTAAAAAAATAGAGAGGACACGAAATGAGGATGAATAGAAAACGATGTATTATTTACATTTGCTTACAAGTTCATAAAACTGGGAATATCTATCTACGGGGCCCAAGTGTTTACTGAAATTGTAGACAATTCATTTCCAGCCATTCGGTCTGGAGTTTAGATAAATGCCTAGCGTTCGAAATCTAATTATTTCGGCAAGCAATTCTTCGACGCCGGCTCATATTTTTATCCATGCATAGTTAATAAACATCGTCTAGTTAAAACTTCAATATTCTAACATTCTACATAATTATTTCTTTTAAATAACATGGCCGTTCAGTCGGCCATGTCCTGTTACGATGTCATAGATATACCTATCTGGGATGAGGATACGATGCCATTTCTTGGATTAATGTTTTGGTTTTGAAGCATCTTGTTGGACATAACTACCCCTCCCGCACTTTATTCAATGCTCACTGTTCTTTTCTTTTCTTATACTAAATTTGTTATGACACATCCACACGCCATGTTATTTGACGTGTTTTGTTGTTATAAGTTCCACATTCTGAAATTTTTCTGATACATTCAGGGTGCATGCTATCACTGCTTTAAGGATTATTTAAGGCTTCGTTCTGGTGAATGCATTTTAACCATTGATTTGAAAAAGCGGTTGTATACAAGGTTTGTCTGAAAAATAACGGGACTGATGTCACAAACAATTTATTTCAGTCCCCTCCCCGCAAAAAAAAACCTACATTGTTTCCTCTTCAAAGTAATCCTCCCAAATGTAATGCACTTTTCCATCCTTCTGTGTCATGTTTCTATGCACCGTTGGGGGTGATAGCAGAGATGAATTCATACCTTTCTCAAAGGTGTTTGCACGTGAGTGAATATGAAGAACCCAATAAGAATTGGAACTCGGCTCTCCGATTAATATTTCCGAACGATTATCCATTACACCACCTGCACATCCAAGCCTACAGCACCTGGTATTCCCAAGCAATCCCCCATCTAGGTACTGACCAGGCTCGACTTTGCTTAACTGTGGGTATCGTACGGAAACAGGTGTTCCAATGTGATGTGGCCGTCTAAGACTAAGGTCTAATCAACACATTTGCAGCTGGTGGACTCTGTTCCTTAAGCGGGTTTCTGTAATAGGGATTTGCTAGCCACCCTGGAAGTCGGTGTACTCGGAAAACGAGTAACCAGCATTATCTTATATATACATACATACTTACATACGAGGTATTTCTTAAATTAACGGGACTGGTGTCATAATTTATTTCAATTCCAATCTAAAAACTACTTGATTTCCCCTTCAAAGTAATCCCTCCTCATGTCTAATGCACTTTTCCATCCTTCTCTACTACGATTCTATGAACCTCTAGAAGGATTCTTCTTGGATGCCCCCCCCAGCTTCCTCTTGATGGCCTCCATTCTTTCAAAACGAGTCTCCTTGATGATCACCTTGAGCTTGGGGAAAAGAAAAAGTTACCTGATCTTGATCTGTGTGAATTCTGAAAGGAAAATGTCATACAGATCAAGATCAGGTGAATAGGGAGGTTGCTCTGGTACGGCGAGGTTTTTCTCAGCCATAAATTACCGGATGCTGAAGGCGTTGTGAGCAGGTGCTTTGTCTTGGTGAAGCAGCCTCGACGTGTCCTGTCATAAAAAAAAAAACATGGAAAAAAGTCAATGGCTGTAAAAAGCTAAGATTACAGTTATAAACGCTTATACAAATTGATAGAAACAGTTCTTGGTTTCCTTTCTTTCAACATACGGTCAGTTTTAGGCCCACTGGAGTGACAGGGTGTAACTGATTTCTATTTTCTCTTCAGATCAGGTCATTTTCAGTGGTGTGCAGCAATATGAATCTATTTTCGGTGTGTATGATTAAATTTATTTGGCCTTGAAAAATATTGCATCATCCGTGATTGCATCAGATTTTGATCACGCACCGTCACTATTGTCTCGACTGTCGATTAGTTGTTCTACGGCCATTGTCTGCGATGTACATTACTCCAAGAAAGCGTACGAAAATTCTAACGCTGCACGAACACAATGGAAAGCGTTACAGAGAGATCGAAAGAGAATCTCGTGGCGGGTATTATAGACATCATGTTACCCAGAAATCAATGAGGATTGCTCCAAATTAAGAAATTCCATGCCAAATTCCATCAAAGAGCTTCTAAAAAATAAAGGCGGAGATACGAAGATGCACTTGGTTATGTTTCATTGGAAAAACACGAATAAAATAAATAATAAGGAATTATTCGTTTTATTTCAATTAATTTATACAACGGTGTATAGTTCCAAGATATCATCTTAGATGATAACACAATCCGCTTATCCCTCTTTCGTCCATAGTTCACACAGCACACTCTGTCCCGTTACTTTTCAGACAGCTCTTACAATTCACCGCGTGCCAAATTATTATCGTGATAACTATTTTTCTAATATTTCAAAAACCGTCCAATCAATTCACACAAAATTTTCACACAATGTTTGTAACACAGATCTGCACAATCACTGAAATTTTCATACTGATCTGCGAAATGTAAACAAACATTCGCCATATTTGTTATCAGTGCGGTGATTTGTGCGTGCCAAATTATTAGAAAAGTGTATGAATTTAGTGAAAAGATGGGCCGTAAAAGCAGTTTAAATGATGCTAAAAAGAAAACTATCACCTCAGAACTCTCAAAAGGTAAATCTATCCTAGAAATTTCTAAAATGATAGGGAGGCGTCATCACACAGTGAAAAAGTTCACCGCCGACCCTACACAAGTACGCAAAAGGGCAGATAAAAGCAGGCCGAGGGTTATTTCACGTTTCATGTTACGACTTAAACGAGAGGCCACGAAGAACCCTGGACTTACCAGTCAAAAGCTTTTCAGTCGCATTGGGGATCCTACTGTGTCTAAAAGTACTCGTTGTCGGTATCTGAGGGAAATAGCAACAACAGTCAAACCTGTATCGAAGCCTCCGTTGACGAGAAATCACATTCAAAATCGATTACAATGGGCCGAGGACAATATGAAGATTGGCTTCTCTAAAGTTTCGTTCACAGTTAAAACTCGAACATCACTTGATGGGCCAGATAGATGGTGCAAAGACTGGGTAATGAATGGACAAAATCGCCATCAGCGTTTGAAACGCCAACAAGGCGGTGGAAGCATAATGATCTGGGGTGGTATTATTGGAAAGACATTAGTGGGCCCATAGAGAGTACCAGATGGCGTCAAAATGACTGCTGATGCATACATAGCGTTTATGAAGGAGCATCTTGAACCGTGGTTGAAAAGGCAAAGATTTGTCTTCAGAAGAGCCATTGTTTTTTTATGCAAGATAATGCTCCCTCACAAGCTGCTCACAAGACTACTGAATATTTGAAACAGTTAGGCTTCGATGGACCTCGAAAAATGAAGTGGCCAGCAAATTCTCCGGATTTGAACCCAATCGAAAACCTTTGGCGCATCATGAAGCGAAGATTGTACGCCAACGGACGACAATTCAGGAGCAACGCTGAGTTCTGGGAAGCAATTCTTGACATATCTCGCGGCATTACAGCAGATGACATCCTACAATTAACAAATTCTATGGATCATCGACTTCTTCAAGTAATTTCAAAACGGAAAGCACATTCCCTATTAATTTAAAACTGTGCCTTTGTTTGTATCTGTTATTATTTGTTTGATTATTTTATTTATTAGCTTCTTTTGATCATAAACATTCACGTGCAACATTAATAAACGTTTTGTTTGTCCAATTCTGGGAATTGTACTAAACCTTTCTAATAATTTGGCACGCTCAAATCACCGAGCTGATAACAAATATGGCGCCAGTTCGTTTAGATTGCGCAGATCAGTAAGAAAATTTCAGTGATTGCGCAGGTCAGTGTTGCCAACATTGTGTGGAAATTTTGTGTGAATTGATTGGACGGTTTTTGAAATATTAGAAAAAAGTTTTTTTAGAAAAAATCTCGATAATAATTTGGCACGCAGCTTATAGGCATTTAACGAATAAATTGAACGCCATGCCTGAGATCCATGTGAGCAGTTGCATTTGACGAGGCTATTTAAGTTCTTATATTAATGTTTTGGTTTTGCAGGATCTTAGGAGTTTGGATGAAACTACCCGTAACGCAGCCTATTTTATATACAGTTTCTTTATCTTTTATACTAAATCTTTTATGACAGATCCATACGCCGAGGTATTTGAAATGCTTAATATTTATCAGTTCCACATTCGGAATTTTTAAGATGAATTCTGGGTACTTATCATCAATACTTTCATTCCAATTCCAGATCATAGTTTCTGTTTTGGAAAGATTTACATCGAATTCAATTTCTTTGAACTTTTGGTAGATGTTGATCTTTCGTTCAAGATCATTTTTATTCCGTCAATGAATATCTATGTCATCAGCTATATTTAGCTCTCCCCCCACGTGGGGTCGCATGTGGCACAAGGCCGAGTTTTACGTGGTCACCCGAACCCGTAGGCCCGGCCAAAAATATAGCCTTTGACCCGCCTAGGCGAGTTCGAGAGCTAACCTCCCCGAACGAAACCTTGCCCTTCGGCAAAGCTTCGTCCGGGTTCCTCCCTGAAAAGCAGAGAGTTCGACAGACGGCGGTTGCTGTATCAAGGTTGGTACAGCTATATCTATGTCATCAGCACAGCCCTGATACAAACACATTATCATTACACTGGGACCTGGTAAAAAAAAACAAAAAAAAACAACACCAACGCTTTTCTACATTAGGAGATTCATTTGAGATGTGTCATAAAATGCTTAAATGGCCATAGCCCATCTTTTCACATAGATGCTTTTACATATGCTGGGCATAGTCTAGAAATACATTAAACAGACGGGGATTCTCCTTTACTCATTTTTGTACTCCTGATGAGGTTTGAAATGGTTCGGTGTGTGGATCCGCACCAGACATATACAGCTTTTTAAACGATATAGTTCCAGTTTGGAATCAGGATATGCAGAAGAGTGAGAGAATCGAAACTGGTTTTCTTCTCTGAGATAAAAATCGTCGCTAAACAAAAATTAACATCCTCTGTCAAATGCCCGGTGTCTCGGTCCCCACAATTCACCAGATATATGGGAAGATACAGGATGCCAACCTGAAAATCTCCCAGTGGGGGAGAGATAATCCTGAATAGAGAACGAATTCTGAGTATCCGTGCAATTACCCCGACGTGACAAGGTTCTTGATGATATGAATATCTACTTTATATAGGGCGACTTAATCAATTAGATATACTGCTTTTTTTTTTTAATAATAAAAGTTTTTTTTTCTTCAACGATTATACAAAACAGATAGAGCTTTAAACTTTTGAACCCTACGTGCCTGAAAAATTTTAACCCTTCTCGCCTGATCTCCTGAATTAAAATTCGCAAATAATTGGTAGATATAAAAATAGTTACAAATACCGGTGGCTGGGCATTAAGTCACTTTTCTCTACCACCGGTAAAGCGGTGGTTAGAGCTCAAAGGCTTAAAATGAAATACATTTAATTAAGGTTTTCTATTCTGCCATTTGTTTTTTTTTCTTTCGCCTACTATCAGGAGTACGTATAAAAGAAATTTGATCATTAAATATAACTATCTATTAACGATGCAATGTTTATTAGTCTTTCGTTAATCCGTGACAACTTTCTCGATAGTTACTAATATCATTTAACACTAGAATGGCCAGCTCCTTTGACATCTTTATTTACATTACGCCGTGAAACAGCCATCTTTAATATATTCAATATTCAAGTCAGGAATAACAAGTCTGAAAAGAAATTCACAAATATTAGTATACCTCATACTGAAAGAAAGTGATTATATATATATATATATATATATAATATATATATAATCACTTTATAGCGGCTTGGTGAGAGTAGTCGTGGCTCCAGGGGGCACAGTCCTATGGTAATAGAGAACTCAGTAAAGTTCCGCCACGGAATATGTGAGCGAGCGGCGCTAAGTTGAGTCTGATTTGGAATCCCTTCGTTAACGAGGCCCGTTGGAACAGTTGGTATGATGTTTGCTTGACAACCTAACTGTCAGGGTTTCAATTCTCGGTAGTGGATGCGCACTGCTGATGAGTCCCGAATATAGGATGAAACGGCCGCCCAATGCTTCCTGCATTCTATGGAGGTTTCTATCGGACCTAGTTGTCAAAAACGACACTTCGGCCATTCAAGGAAAAACCTCAAATATCAGCTGTTCCCCTAAATATTTTTTAAAGAATTAGGTCTGTTAAGCATCTTTTTTAAAATTCAATAATCGAACCAAAACTAGTTATTCCATAGGAATTTGTTGAAAATTTGAAGGTGTCGAAAACGACACCTCAGCCATCCTAGTGTTAATAATTTAATTAAAACTGATTGATACACTTCCTGGCTTTTTAAAACTCACTTGATGATTTTTTTAAAAAATCACCCATCGCTAACAAATTTATTTTTCCTTAAAATTGAAATACCGTATAAACCTGTATAGAGCGACTCCTGAAATATTTCGGGAAAAGCTTCTTTTTTTTTCCTATAGCTCGTGTGTAGTGAAAACCCAGTAATCCCAACACGCCAAACGTTGCTAGATATTGCAGTACTGGGTATCATTCCGGACATATTTTATAGCAAATAAATGGTTTTCATTCTTTTTTTGTAGAAAGATACCCCAAAATGGTGAGAAAATCCACTTACCATAAAATATCTGATACGAATATTTAGATACCGAACTTTTATTGTCGTTAAAACCAGTTAATGAAAATAATAGATAAAAAATAAATATAATTAAACAGAAGAAGACGGAATAAGGAATACAACTGAATCATGTGTGGTAAAGATACGTATCAGACAAACGGGGTGGTGTTGGAAAAGCAATACCACATTGCAGGAAGGAAAATAACATTGTTAATTATTCATTTAGATAAGGTATTTGAAGATTTCAAGCGGCACACATAATGAATGAAGGTTTGCAGTTCATGTTGCAACAGTAAGAAAGAATTCTGACTACACAATGGCGGCTAAATGAATTTGCCTATACAGTTAAACTTAGACAAAATTACCGTAAGAATTTTGGCCTAACGGTCAAGGAAAATGCATGTATTTTAAGCCCACCAGAAAAATTACCTGTGTGTAAAGAATGGTTTTAAACCGCGTCAAAAAAAATACATATGTATAGTCCGATGTTCCTAATTTTTGCGCAAAAAAATTATAATAAAAGCTCGAACTATACACGAGTATATGTGGTACATTATTCTAAATAATATATATAAATATATTATTCAGCGGGACAGGGCCTGATTATAACACAGACGAGATGAAGGAGGATCTAAATGATTTCATCTGGGCCAAATTTTATGATTGTAGGAGAGAGTAAAATGAGGGCTTTAATGGGGTTGACCAAAAAGAAATGGAGAAAAAATAAATGAAAACCTTCGAGATCAAGTGCCACTTAGCCGGAAGCTAGGAGACTTACGTTGTATACTTATATAAGTATTGCTTAATAAATAAACGGAGCATCTACTCAAATATGAGTGTCCACTAAAATAGTTTAAAGTGATCATATATATATATATATATATATATCAACTACGCAAAATGGGGCATAATTACAGTTTGAAGGATTAACAGCAGTTTGAACGACCCTCTGTCACAACCGCCGACGGCTTCCGTGTAGTTCCGTTCCACTCAAACTCACCCAGTCATTTTACAAAGTTGCTGTATGCTGAGACCACCTCCCCAGAACGATGACACTATCTTATTCTCACCTTCATGAGAAATCACCGATGGTTACACTTGAACCTGGATCTCATTGTCAGAAATCTAACGTTATAACCACTCGATCAATACGCCCGTTTTGGCATTTGTAAAGCGTTGTTCTAGAATTGGAATACCACTTTTGTCTAAAATCTATATTTTGGCCAGTTGATGCAGAAATTCTGGAATCTGGTGCACAATATAAAAACAGCAAAAAATTATTGTTTACATGCGGACTCTTGTCCTCACCATTGTTGTTGCTATCAAAACGCTTCGACCGTTGTGTCTTCCGACCATCATCAGGTGTATGCCGAACTTATAAGGAATTTCGAACTGGACTATTTCATTTAATCTAAGAGGATTAGACTGTTTTCGTTTAACTGCCATGTCTAGGGATATCTCATCGAGTTTAAAAGTTATTCAAAGTTTTCTTGTTGATATATATATATATATATATATATATATATATATATATATATATATATAAATTATTTATTTAAAAATTATAAAATAAATATTTTTGTAGTGATTTTATAACATAACATATTTATGTTATAATTTTAAATAAATAAATATATATATATATATATATATATATATATATATATATATGTATATATATAAGTATAGGATTGCACTCTTTTAAAGAATAGTATATATATATATATATATATATATATATATATATATATATATATATATATATATATATACTTCAATACTATGATTATTGGAATTTATATCCGTATATATATATACATATATATATATATATGTGTGTGTGTGTGTGTGTGCAAACATATATATATATATATATATATATATATATATATATATATATATATATATATATATATATATATGTAATGATTAATCGTAAATGGGATTTCTAGTTCGATCCGTGTTTGTTATATTCACGTAAATACTCCTGAAACACAAGATCTCATGAGCACGAGTAAATCATTATTATCGCCCAAAAAATGAAAACGAAAGATTAAAAAGTTTGATGTACAGATTTCTGTGTTTAAATAAACTTGCCTGATCACTACTGCCGGATTGGGTGAGATGATTATTCCAGATTTATCAGATAATTACAGCTTGGATGTGAGGATGGTTTTAATGATTAATCGCTAATAAATTCTAAAATAAAATCGTATTAAATGTCCATCAAAGATTTCTTGATTCGATCCGTGTTTCAAAGTTATATTTTTCATCATAAATTCGATTGAAAACTAAACTCCTGGGAAAAAGATTGATATGAATATCATCCAAACTTCTCCCCCAGCTATTGATTAAATAACTAGATAGTCTAGATATAGATAGATAGATAAAAACTCATTATTAAATCGCCTCAAAAATTAGATAGATACAAACGAAAATATATTTTTAGATAGATTGCTTATACAAACTAGATAGAAATAAACTGCAAAAGTTTGATAATACATACAAACTAAAAAACTAGATAACAGATAAATCAATCTGTGTATATACAAACTAGATAGATATCTCTGCAAACTAGATGGGATTGATAGGATATGCAAACTATAGATAGATGTATGACTATATATGTATATAAAACTTATATACTAGATTATACATTATTCATAGTATATAAGACAAAAATTAACGTCTGCTTTTCAATTAGGTCAGTTGTTCATTGATGCCAGATAGGTAGATAGAAACTAGTTGAATAGAAGCAAACTAGATTTTAATAATACAAACTATAATAATAAAATCTGTATTAAATGTCCAGATAGATAGATACAAACTAGATAGATACAAACTAGATTTGAATAATTATTCTTGATATGAATAAGCATTTCTAAAAGTATATATCTTCTCAGAGAGGAATTGGGTCAAAGATAGATAGATACAAACTAGTAGTTATTTAGTTTTACAAACTAGATATACTTTTAGATAAATCGATTGATTGATCTATAATAGATATACACAAACTAAACTAAGATAGATAGGGATGACGACAAAATAGAAATGGGTTGATAAAAAACTAGAAATATATAAAACTAGAAATACAAACTAGATTAGATATAGATATATACAAACTAGTGATAGATATATACAAACTAGATATATATACAAACTTATATACAAACTAGATAGATTGATTATATACAATGACTTGACAAACTAGATAGATATATAGATATAAAACCTAGATAGATACAAACTAGATATATATACAAACTTGATAGATAGATATATACAAACTTGATAGATAGATAGATAGATAGATATAGATACAAACTAGTAGATATATAGATACAAATAGATAGATAGATAGATATACAAACTAGATAGATAGATATGAATGATAGATATATAAAACTAGATAGATATATACAAACTAGATATATACAAACTAGATAGATAGATAGATAGATAGATAGATAGATACAAACTAGATAGATAGATAGATAGATAGATAGATAGATACAAACTAGTAGATAGATATATACAAACTAGATAGATATATACAAACTAGATAGATAGATAGATGATAGATAGATAGATAGATAGTTATATACAAACTTGATAGATAGATAGATATATACAACCTAGATAGATAAGTATATACAAACTAGATAGATAGATATATACAAACTAGATAGATAGATAGATAGATAGATAGATAGATAGATACAAACTAGATAGATAGATAGATACAAACTAGTAGATAGATATATACAAACTAGATAGATATATACAAACTAGATATATACAAACTAGATAGATAGATAGATAGATAGATAGATAGATAGATAGATAGATAGATAGATAGATAGATAGATAGATAGATGACAACCGGAAGTAATACATTGATAAGAATAAAACTGAAAGAAAGACATAGATGCATAGATTGGAAGATTAATCATTACAGAGTGAGAGAGAGAGAGAGAGAGAGAGAGAGAAAGGGTGAGATAAAATGTATACTTTCTTCCCTCCATATGATCAAAAATTTGAATAATTATTCTTGATATGAATAAGCATTTTTAAAACTGTATATCTTTTCAGGTAGGAATTGGGTCAAAGACACAAAGCATGTTATTTGTTTCGGAACTTTTATAAATCGATGGCGCGATCTTTAGATAAATAGAGAGATGGAGAGATGACGACAGAGAGAAATGTGTTGATAAAAAGAAAGAATGGATGAAACATGGATATAGATATAGACAGATACATATATAGATATTTGTGAACCAGAAGTAATTTATAGATGAGATGAAAATTGAAAGAAAGGTAGAAAGAATAGACGTATGAATTGAAAGAGTAATCGTTACAGACTAAATGAGAGAGAGAGCAGGAGAAAAGAGAAAGATATATTTTGAAAATGAAAAATCCATTCCTAAAACACACACACACACACAAATATATATATATATATATATATATATATATATATATATATATATATATATAACAGTTACACCATCGCCTGAAGAAGTACAATCATAGTATTGAAACATGAAAGCTTTTATTTCAAAATTATTTTATATATATCGTATAATAAAATAAAATAATATATATATATATATATATATATATATATATATAATGTGAAAACATATAGAAAATAGAAAGGAACTGGTTAGGTAAATAATCCAAAGTCCCTTAGTATTTTAGTTATTATTTTTAAAAAACAGTGCTCGATACAGAAAAAAAAATAATTCGCTTGAAGATGGAACAGAGCTTACTTTAACTCAATTTAATTCAAATAATTATATTGAAGTTTTCGGCTCTTGTTTTGAAAATTGAGACCTCTTATGTCGCGAATTGGAATCATATTTTCAAATAATTAATTATATCTATATATTATACTTTATACAGTTGGGCACCGTCTATGAGAAAAAGAGCACCATGGCGCAATCTACATCGCCAGAAATGTGGAAACGCCATGATGTGTTGTTTGGCATTCACGTTGGAAGCTCCAATACGAAATTTCAGAGTGTTTGAGTGTCAATTTGAGGACCGTGCACAGAATTCAAAAGGAGTTGGATGAGTCTAATAATGATTGCAAATGTGTTTGGAGTGATCATTAATGATTGCTACGTTAAGCCTGCATTCATCTTCTCACACGGCCTCAGGTTCGAGGCGGAGGCTTGCCTCAAGTACGTCGAGGAGATAGTGCTGCTCTAGAAGACCCTATATCTGACAACAGCTCTCTGCACCATGCCAGACAAGCAGGAGAACCCAATCATGTCTATCAGACAATTTCTGCGTCCACATGACCCCTTACATCTGGTCACCTAATTCCTCAGACTGTAAAACTCTTGATTATTATGTGTGGGGCATAGTTGTGCGAGAGACTAGGAAAACTTCTTGTAACACCAAAAATAGTCTGAAGGCGAGGAGTATGACAACATTAACCAAATTAAACAAGGAGAACGTCCAGAAGAGTTACAGGAGATTCCGAAGTATTCTGGAAGCCGTGGTTGAAGCCAATGGCGATTTTATTCAATAAATTTACTCTTTCTTATATCAAGATATTTTTGTGTAATTTTGGTAAATATTTCTATTAAAATGAGATTTCAGCGTTATTTTGCGTAACTTAGACGACACTTTAATCACCGCACCATATATATATATATATATATATATATATATATATATGCCATTCTTAAACAGTACTGTTTCGATGTTTCACAGCTCTCCAGTGCTCCGAATGCCTGAAGCCAGGATCGAAACCCGACTGATTTAGTGTCAATCAGAATTTCTACATCTGAGCTATCATCTTTCGGCAGATAGCAAATAAATAAATAAATAAAGATAGATAGATAGATAGATAGATAGATAGATAGATAGATAGATAGATAGATAGATAGATTCTCTACATGGTTAAAATCATGCAAAGCATACTATAGATAGAGAAGCAGATAAAGCGATGAAAAAAAATAGAAAGAAAGAATCTATACAAATACAAGTATATAGTCTTCCCTCTATATGTGATAAGAGACAGAAAAAATATATAGATTCACTGAACGTTTTCAGCCATCTATAGCAACCATTTGATTAATAACAGAAAATAAGGAATGCTACTATTTCCATGCAAATTTATTTCAACTGACTTCATGAATACAGACGGATGTATTGGAAAAGACTATCTTAATTACCAAATTATCTAAAGTGACTAAATCGACACAAGGATTGAAGCAGCTGCGTATTTAATGATGCGGAACTTTTTCAAAGCCCGAGATGCCTACAATTTAAAACAAGACAATGCCTCAAAAAACAGCCTCGTTTTCAAATCTTTTTACATTATGCCGATGTCTTTAATTGATAATGGATTTCTTTTTTACATATAGTAATCCGCTACCATTGAAAGATGTTTGATTCAATTTCTTTTGTATTATATTGATCTGTACTCTGCTGACTTTCGTTTGGGTTTTTAATTAAAGTTCAGTAGGACTGGAAGAATAATCATTAGAAGTGTTCCCTATTAAAGAAGAAAAGAAGAAAGAGGCATAAAACGTATTGTAAGATCTATTCTAAACATGGAAAGGTCAATAATGGAGATTGAGATTGATTATTACGATAATAATTACAATGACATTATTATTATTTATCAAAAGATCGGAAAATGCGACACCGAGCGTGTGTTGGACTAGGAAAAGACGAATTCTAAAAGCTAAACAAAGTACTTAGAAACAGGCAAATTTCGTTAGAAACAAAGGAAAAGAGTGCCGAGCCACTCTGTGATGTCGAACCTCTTGCGTAGAAATGGATGCTGGACGGATGAAGAGAAAACTGGAGATAGTAGAAATGTAGTTCTGAAAAAGTATATTGAGTAATCCATGGACGGAAAGTTAAGCAACGAAGAAGTCTGAAAGAAAATGGTGACAAAAAACATTTATTTTCAGAATCAGGAGACAACCGAAGCATCTTTGATTGATAACGAGGAAGGAAGGCCTGGAGACCTTGACACTCAGAGAGCATATTGAAGTCAAGATGGATAGGAGAAAGCAGCAGGCTCACCAACCAGGCGAGTTTGACTACCAGAACTGGGAGCATGAATTCAATCTGATTAAATTAGAATTTGTTTTTTTTAGATTCCGTACACCAAACGATTAAGCTCTTTCAAAACCGTACAGGTTTTCTGTAATCTTCTGTGCCGTGTCCTTTCAGAAGTTTTTTAAGAAATGTTTCTCTCAGCCAGTGATTCCCCATTTTTTTTCCTCTGGGCCGCAATTTCAGAATTAAAATTTGCTCGCGACTCACCAAATTTTATGATAAAAAGTACATTTAAAAAAAACAAAAAAACACAGAGAGTGTTAAAGGGAGATAACCGCGGATATGAAGTCAGTACATTATCATTGATAACTCTCTCCTCCAATTTGCAGACCATAGTTACTATATTCTTAATTTTTGCAATCTATCAAGATAGATTGCAAAAATATTTATAACTATTTATACTGGGACTCATGCATGTAATTAGAAGTAATCTATAATAATATTTTAAATTTTGAAATCATATTCATTTTTTTTCATATGATTTTTTTAAAACTGTTTCTTAATCTAAAACATGCTACCCTCTTCGCAACTCTGAAGTGCAGCGTGCCATTTGCAAACCACTAAGCAATGATTGTCACTAATTATCACTCCCTGTCCATGTTCTGCCATTCATTTACAGATCCATTTACAGTAGGTCACTTGTTGTTTCCTTCAACTACACTTGCTTTAATATACGCTGTGAGTGTTAAATTGTTAAAAGCCGTTTTCTTCATTATCTGTTGGAGAAATTGCAATTGTCTCTTTCTGATTCTAATTATAAGTGTGTTTTTTTGTTTACTTTTTCCTTGAAACTTCCTGCTTAGTCATATGTTCCATCTATGGGATTCTCAGCATTCTTCTCTAGAACCATATCTCTAGTGCTTCATGTCTTATTTTGATGTAAATGAGATGTGGTCCTGTAGAAGATATTACTTCAAATCTTTAACGAAAGATTCTTTTTATCTAATTTCCAATCCACGTTGCTTGCTTACCGGTCGTAAACTGTAAAAACAAACTGAGAGTAGCATTAAATATAGAAGAAGAAATGAATCTTGCATTGTTATTTAATAAAGTTACTCTTAGCACAGTAATGATAATGGTAATATTAACCCTCTCCTTACAAGAAAACATTTGGTATTCAGTGAAGGAGCAACCAGTACTACCATTGGTTGAAATATATAAAACATTTCCCTTAAAAGATTTTTTTCAGAAAAATAGCCTCTTTTTTTCAAATCCAGTAGCTGTTATCACTCTTCTCAGTATTGAAAAGTTTCCTTCCTAAACGTTTGCTTGGTTTGGTTTGATTTGTTTTACGGTATATCAACCGCAATAGGTCATTTAATGCCGACAACTTTTTTTCCTGTTAATATGTTTTTTTTTCAAAAATCTATTTTTGGTTATATATTTTTTTCAAAAACGTATTGCTGGTAATATTTTCTCTCTAATTTATTTCTGGCAATAATTTTTTACAAAGTATTTCTGGTGTTAAAACCTATTTTTACACTTTCATAATGCTTTTTACTTCGGTTTCGGTGTTAGATATTTTCCCATAGCTGGGACCCTAACAGGTGCTACCACCCCGGGTCAAGGTAGACCTGGGAACACCAGCATTTAAGAGGTTGTTCCACGCTCCTCAAAGTCTCCTGATCAGAGGTCTTGCTGTTGGACGTAGTTTATTGTCTTACCCTGGACGCGGATGTAGTTGATCGTCATGCCAAAGACGACTTTTTCTTGGAGTAATGTCGAACGTCAACATCTTGATTATGTTATTATTTTTCTTTCGGAGTTAAATGCGACACGTATTTTAGTTGTTTCTGCTGCTAATGAAAGACCCCAAGTGGCGTAGTTTCTGTAATTTCGTACAGTTTTTTGACTGTGATCCTGCAGTGACAGTCCACAACGGTCCACAAAAAAAAGAGACTCCCAATTAGGATCGAACTAACTACATTTGAGAAACTGATTTCCGAAATGAGGTTGATAACCGTTGTTCTACGGTAAACACTATTTACCCGCTTCTCAAAGGCAAGCTCTTTAAAGAAAATATTCCATAATTGGTTTCTCTGTCTCAATTTTCTGTCCAGATGTTTTTGTTCAGTTCAGAAATTTTCCAAGATATGTTTACATAGACACGCTTGTTTAGGTAACGGCAAATTAGAAAAGAGGGCGCTGTCAAATCAGATGAAGATGACGGCTAAGGAGTTAATCTGAAATTATTTACATCATTGAATATGATTTGTAAAATTCAGACCAGTGTTTCTCATTCTTTTCTCTCTTGTGGCCCATTTTTGGTGTCAAAAAAATTTCAGGCCCCCATGGGCACAAATAGAAATTCCATAATGTAACAGGAAATACGTTTTATTTACAGAAGCAACATGTAGTAAAAAGTATAAAACCTGACTTATGACTACACGGCTTCTGGTGTCAATCCATCGGCTTGTCAAGTTTAACATTCAAGCATTGGTTCAGATTAAGGTGTAAGTTTTTCCTCTTATCAATATGAAATAAATTAACTTTCTTCTGTGAGGACATCATTTGCTGCAGAAAATGACAGAAAAATTGAGTTTTGCATTATTTTAGGCTAGTGGGGAAAATGGAATATCAAAGTCAACCTATTTTCCTTGGTCCAACTCCAGGATCATTTTAAAATTTTCTCAGGTCGATTATTGTCCTAAGGTCTCCCGATGAGAATCACTAATTTAAGTCAGTTATGTGCCATGCGTGATACACTCTTGATCATGTATCTTTCGATACATAACTGACGAGACATACTTTTTTCCCGCAGTAGGTTGCCATTTCTTTCTGTGTTAGACCAGTTGAGATCCAAAGCTATAGAACCCGTAGAAGATATATTTCAGCAAATTGTCTGTTCTTGCCTTGTTCTTTACTGGGCTACATGTGCGAATAATTTATCTTCAATTTTGATACTGAGCATCACCCTGTAAAGGCTCAAATATCACTCAAGTTAGAGAGTTTAAGTTGAAATATTAATGAACAGGTGTCTAATATAATTGAAAGAGAACATAGTCGTATGTGAATGTTATAAGGATAAGTAGGATATATAACGGCTGATCATAGACGAAGAAGTTAACATTGTAGCGTTCGGGGAAACATCCGCAAGTGTGAATTCCGCAAAGCGGCATTTCATGGAATTTTTTTTTTTTTAAATCACTTTTTCTAATACATGGCATCCCAGAAATCTCGCGAGTTTAAAAAAAAAATTAGGAATTTCAACTCTGTTTTCATTATTAAAAATAATTCTACATAATGAAAATTAAAATTCTGGAAATGTATTTTAATTTAAGCCTGAAAACATCATATCAATGTCTTCCATTTTCTACATCGAAAAAGCGCGTTCTTTTTATAACTTTCACGATAACAGCGTTTAATAAATCAGGCTGCAGGCCTCAAATTTCTGGACAGATGTTATCCTTGTGTTTCGAAATTGTCCGCGGTTTATTGTTGCATACAACCTCCCTAAGGTAATCCCCATAAAGAAAATAATCCGGAGGCGAATCAGAAGAAAGTTATGGACATAAAATTTCGGAATTTGATGAAATTATTCGATATGCAAAAGCTTTTTTAAATCCAAAATAAAATTCCAAGATTTTGTTTCTTTGTTCAGTTAAGGATTTTGTCATGGATGATTTTCCTATGTTAATCTAAGTTCTGAAAAAATAAATAAATAAAAGATGAAAAATATTACATCTTATGACAATTTTAAATATCGAAGAGATTTCCGGTTTACCCTGTATATGGAACCCGGGGGAAATAAGGGTGATTCGTCTCCGTGGAAGTAGCATACTCTGTCCTATAAATGTCTGCACTAGTGCAACTAAAATGTGTAACTCATTTGAACTTTTTTCCCGTAGAAATACCGATAGATTAGCGATAGGCATTTAACGCTGCACCTGAGGGAAAGAAATTATAGACTGAAGAATGTATATACCACTACAAGATCGCTTAAACCATATGGATCATTTTTTTTATTTCTTTTGTTTTAATCGAATTCAACCAAGCAAAGCAGTAAACCAACTAAGATACAAGGTTTTACTGGGTTTGAAAGAATTATACAGAAACACTATTAAAGAGGGAGAAAATTCCAAGAGTGCCATATAGGAATAAAGCGTCGCTGCCGACAGTTGAATTTGAACATAGGTCGCCAGTGAGCAAACGCAGGCGATCCATTTTGGATCACATGACCATAGAGAAACGCTTAAGTAGGAAGTTATATTGTGTTTAATTGCTTGCATTTCTATTCTATTCTTTATTATTATTCGGATCTGCATTTCTACTCTCTCCTATATTACTATAAGGATCGCTATTTCTACTCTATACTATACGGATTACTATTCGAGCGTGTATTATCAAATAAGTACTATTAGTGCGAGTGATATTCGAAGGCGTCTGTCACCAGCATTGTTCAACGGCGTTAATATAGCTGTATCTGCAATTAAAAAGTCTCTACTACAACCAGCATTACGAAAGGGACAACGAGTATTCGTTGACATCACAAAAATAGTAATCAGGAAAATATTAGATAACGATTGACATTGCATTTAAAGTTTTGAAGATCAAAGATGGTTGGAAAGCATGGAACTGGAAGGGAGTTCCACAAAAGAGAAGTGCAAGAAAAGAAACTCTTAGCATATAACTTACGATATGAGACCTTATTGCCAATCTAGTACTGCACTTCTATTCATGAACTTTGGCCACCACAGAGTAAAGTTCATCCGAACAATTGCCATGAAAATATTTATAGAAAAAGCACGGGGAAGCTACGTTACGACGGTGGGAGGTGATTGGATCCGAGATGCCAGGCCAGGACAAATAATATTGCTAATTCTTCTTCTTAGGGTTTTATCAAGAATCTCTAAATATATAGCAGGAGCATTGGAACATAGGTGACAGCAATTCTCGAAGCAGGGACGAAAGGTAGACATAAATATGTAAGAGAGATTCTGGAGAGAAAAATTGTCTAGCGCAATACAGTAAATCAACTTAGCAACAGAGCTAGCAATGGCATCAATATAATCTTTCCACTTTATGTCCGCCTTGAATGTTAGCCCGAGAAGAAGCAATGTTTCATTCTCCTGGAGGTTAGAATTAGCCATGCTGATGGAAGGCAGAAAAGAATATCTAAGCTGGTAAATTAGGACTGAGCAGCTCAAGCCCAGATATGGCATCAATACACCATTTTTGTTCTCTTGTAAAGAATAAGTTCATTAACATCTGAATTAATGCATCGATCTGGTTAACAATCTCAGCTTTTTATAATAATTCCTTATTTAGGTTTTAGATTTTAGGGGACAGGGAAGCAAGATATGGGAAAGGATTTGCACACGAGAAATAAAATTATTAGAATAGAAATACTTCTGAAAGATAATGAATACTTTGAAGTTGCCTACTCCTTGAGTTTCAATGCTAAGTATGGCTTGCTTCTCTTAGGCTGGTTGGCCAAAGTCTCTGCTGCCATTTAACCTTTACATTTTGGTGTGGGGTGAAAAGATGGATTGAAGCTATTTTCCTAGGGTATTTTATATAAAAGTGAATGCAGTAGTCAGAACTCGAATTCGATCTCGGCCTTATCGATTCCACTTTTCACGATGGTCACATAATCCTAGCATAGACGAATGGTAGACTTATAGATATGTAAGATAGACACTAGGGGTAAAAATTGTCTAGCGCGGTACAGTGAACCAACTTTCTCAGCAGCAAAGCTAGCAATGACATCAATATATTCTTTCCACTTCATGTCCACCTTGAATGTTAGCCCGAAAAGATACAACGAGTCACTCTCCTGGAGGTTAGCATTAGCCATATTGATGGAAAGCAGAAAGGGATATCTAAGCTGGTAAATGAGGACTGTGCAGCTCCAGACCAGATATGGCATCAATACACCATTTTTGTTCTCTTGTAGAGATAAGGCATGGCTGGAGGAGTCAGGTAATTATTGAAGTGATAGAATAAGTTCATTAACATCTGTATTGACATGCGGCTAGCAAACGGAAGTGATTACAACAATGCCTAATTTAGACGCAGGTTTCTTCTTCAATAATGA